GGAAGGAAGGAAGGAAGGAAGGAAGGAAGGAAGGAAGGAAGGAAGGAAGGAAGGAAGGAAGGAAGGATGGATGGGGGGGGGACTGGGTACACCCAGGATTTTCCAAATCAAGGTTCTCATGAATTCTTTTAAATCTTTCCATCACATTATTGTCACTTGTGTATGTGATGATGTGCGTGTGGTATAAGCTACCACATTCAGTTTAAAGCAGCTTGTTTTTTGTTAAACTGGGATATACAATAAAATGAATTTTTAAAGCACATTATTCAAAACAGAAAGAACAATCAGAATGCTATTCTGAGTAATCTGAATATGCTATTTCTTTGTGATTTTAAAATGTTTATGTATTAGTTTTCAAATTTAACTAAAATGTGTTTTCAAAGTAATGTTGTTCAATACCTAACCATGTGCAGCCCACAAAGATGTTTGATGCTCATTTCCATCCATCATGGGACACAGACCCAATGGATGACTACTCCTTCTTTCCACAAACTACAGTCAGTCAGTGTCATTTATCTCCATATAAAATTTCAATTTGCCATTTGAAAAAAAAAGGAAACAGGAGTTATCTGTAGTGTGATATATTGAGTTTCACTGAGGATCTTGATTTCTGTATTTTAATTGAATAAGTGCAAACTAATGGATGAACAGCACACTTATCCCAGAGAGTGCAGTGCCAATATTGCTTAGCTAACTCAAAGATCACTCAATGCAGAAGAAAATGACTCATTTTAGTGATACATAAGTAGATCAAACAGGTAAAAAATGCACATGGTTTTTGCTTCTCTGCTCTTTGAGGCATGGGGTATTTCGACCATATGGGAGCAAAATCTATAAGTTGTACTGTGTCCATCCTCTGGGGAACAGACCAGCAAAATAGAGGACAACGAAAGAAAAACGATTAGGAGGATACACAGCATTAGCTGTTTTCTTTTTTGTTTTTTGTTTTTCGAGACAGGGTTTCTCTGTGTAGCTCTGGCTGTCCTGGAACTCACTTGGTAGACCAGGCTGGCCTCAAACTCAGAAATCCGCCTGCCTCTGCCTCCCAAGTGCTGGGATTAAAGGCGTGCGCTACCACCACCCGGCCATAAGCTGTTTTCAAGGTTTCTGTTTTTAGTATTTTTAAAGTTTCTTTAATTTAAACTTTATGTGTATGAGCAATTGCCTGCATTTATTGTATGTGTACCATGTGTGCCTGGTACCTAAGGAGACCAGAAAAGGGCATGAGGTCCACTGGAACTGGAGTTACAGACAACTATGACTCACAAAGGTACTGAAGCACAGCCTAAACCACAGGGGTATAGCATGTACCTTGGATGTGGCTTTCATCACAGGGCAGACACAGCACAAAGCTTGAGTGTGAGTTTCTTTTATTATGGTGGCATTACGCAGCACTATCCTCTAAGCCCAAACAGTGGCATCTTAACCAGACCAGTAATGTCTGCTCAGAAAGCTCTTAGCTAGCTTGTTGACTGCTGCTGTTCCTTCACAGAAGAGTATTCAGTATAATTCTGGACAACATCCAGCCACTCCTCCCAGCTAGTTGTATGCAAACCTGTCCTAACTGCATGTGTCCCTGAGGGGAAGAGCTACAATGTATAGACTGAGGAAGACAAGGAGACATCATCATCCATATAGAGTGAAGATTTCCTTTCCAGTATAGCTGCCCTCAGACCACCATACTCTTGTCAGTCATCCTCAATCAGGTGCTGTGAGCAAGCCAAACAAAGCAAGCTTACAGGCCCTCAGCAGGAACTCCAGTGAAACCAAACTCTGGTTTGTCAATGACATTGGTTAGTCTTCTCCCATGGAGAAAATTCTCATGACAGATCAGAAATCTGTTAGTTTTTATGCTTTATGGTATGAAGAAAATCAGTAAACAGAAGAAAATGTTAGAAGAATAAAAAATGGAAGTATTTTCAGTAAAGAAGAACTTATATATAAAGGTTGAGACAGCTACATGTTTCTCCAGAATAGAAAAGGAAGCTGAAAGGAAGGCCCCTGTATGGTCTCAGTGCCCACGCTGGAAGTGTCACTGAAGGCTGAGTGACTGGTGTTCTCCTCTAACAATCCAGGGTAAATCCACAGGAGGCAGGAGGTGGTATTTAGACCATCACATCTCATTAGTGATTTTCTCCTTGACAAACAACTGTTGCCCAGTGGCTCACTTCTGCACCTGCCTGCAGCCTATGGAGACAGGCCCAATATTATTTTAATCAGAAAATTAAATGATGGCTAAATATCTTTTTCTCTTTCTAGAATCAATCTGGAAGAAACTTCTCACTGGTTCTAGGCAATAGCTATCAAAATGCCTGAAAGCAGATCCTGGGTTCAATGTTGTGACTAGCCTTGGAGTCCAAAGGAAAAAGAGGGGAGAAATGATTTTGTGAGCCCATCAAGAGATTCTAATGGACTTTGATTTAGACATTTAAAAATATCCTGTGTTCTGGCTTCTTCTGGTTGCCTTTTTGTTTTGTTTTGTTTTGTTTTGTTTATTTTCGAGACAGGGTTTCTCTGTGTAGCCCTGGCTGTCCTGGAACTCACTCTGTAGACCAGGCTGGCCTCGAACTCAGAAATCCGCCTGCCTCTGCCTCCCAAGTGCTGGGATTAAAGGCATGCGCCACCACTGCCTGGCTGGTTGCCTTTACCTTTACCACTTCCTCGATTCTCCAGGCAGCAGTTGAGGAGGACTTCCACTTACACATAACTCTTGTAATGAGAATGGAACTAATGATGCACTCTTGAGGTCCTCTAGATAGACCCAATGGAGGCATATACTGC